GGTTGAGAGCCAATTTCCTACAGTTGATTGTCAAGAAGACTGAGGCCCTCCTTACTTGGCTCCCGTCAGTGCCTCCACACCTCAGGTGCTGACAGTAAATCCATGGCACTCTATGCTTCACGAAGCCAGTAAGAACCTTAGTGTCTTGTTTGACCCTCCACTGTCTTTTAAACCACCATATCCATGCCATTACCTATTCTGCCTTCGCCCACCTCCGCAACATTGCCTGTCTCCACCACTACCTCTTACCTTAGGCTGCTGAGGCCTTCATTTCGCCCAAGTTGACTATGTTAACTCCTTGTTTGCTGGACTTCCCAACTGTCCCCCCTACAAGTTGCAGATTATTTAGAACTCTGTGACCCGTGTCCTCTCAAGCACTGAGCTTCATGAGCTGTTCACCCTAATCCTCACCCGGCTTCATTGTCTCCCCACCCCCCAGAGGATTGAGTTTAAAATTCTCGTCCTCACCTTTAAAGCTAACCACAGTCTTGCTCCTGCCTACCTCTGCGACCCGTTAAACACCAACCTGTCTGTCTGCAGGCCCTGGCCTGCTCCATGGCCTCCACCTGCCTTCTCCACTATCAGCGGTCAGGCCTTCAGGCTTTCTGCTGCCACTGGCTGGAGAGTGCCGCCACTGGCCAGGCTGACATCTACAGGCAGCACCGCCGACAATGAGGGGACTTCCCCCCTCTCCCCAGCATTGCACTGAAGTTTTCAGGCACACTTCAATACTTGTGTGACTTTTGTGAAGAAAAACATCAACTTTACTCCCACTGAGACAATCGCTTATTGATGCAGGCAATAGACTTGTAGTTCTTAATGTGTCTGCAACTCTTATTAGACAAAGGACTAATGCATATAGGGTGACCCCTGCTGGACAACTACAGTAGATTACATGGTTACCATTAATCTTCTCTTATCTAGTAATAATAATCATCTAGCATTTGATACAGCTCCTTCCACATCAGGAGGACATCTCAAAAGTGCTTCACAGGATTTACTGTAAAGTGCTATGATTGTATTTTGTGGGCAAAGCCCAGCAGCTAATTTATACTTAACAACGTCCGTCCCTCAAACAGCCATGAAGTAAATGACAAATTTTATCTGGGGGATTGTTGGCCAGCACACTGGGAGAATCTCCCTACTCTTTTTGAGTCGCACCATGGGATCTTTAACTTCCACCTGAACTGGTAGACTGGACCTCGGTTTAACGTTTAAGGACGGCACCTCCAACAATGCAGCACAGTGGTGCTTTGGTGTGTCAGCCTCAAAACATACAGTCAGTTCACTTCACATTATATTCTGTGATGCACTGTGAGACGTCTCTCTCACTCAATCCCTCTGCTTTGCCCCGTCCCTCCCCACTTTCAAATCCCGCTTAAAGACCTTTCTTTTTGATCGTGCTTATGGTCACCTCCCCCCTCCTATTCCCCCTGGCTCGAGGTCAGACGCGGTCACTCCGGGACGCTACCTCGTGTGATGGGCATTATATAAATGCAAGTTGTTATTGTCTCAAATAAGTGATAAGGCTTTATATTAAATGCAAGGATTATTATTATTATTAATTATTATGGTGTTGTGATTTATTGTGACCCAAGAACGCAGTGGTTGTTTATTGGCAAATAAGGAAACTGCTGCTGGCTTGTCACTCCACATCCTGTGAAGGTTGGTTTCACATGTTGGGTGAATCAATCGTCCTTCCAATGAAACATTAACCCGAGGTTCAGTCAGCCTGTTCAGGTGGATGTTAAAGATCCAATGGCACTATTCGAAAAGAGAAGGGAGTTTCTCTCTCCCATTGTCCTGACCGACAATCCCCCAAATAAGATTGTCGCTCACTCCCCGTGGGACGTTGCTGTGCGAAAATTGGCTTCCGCCTTCACCCACAAAATACACATTCGCTACACTTTACAGTATCCTATGAAGTGCTTTGAGACATCTCAATGACGTGATAAGGCTCTCCCTTAAAACAGGTTCGTGCTGCTGAGCGCACCTGGCTTAAATCAAACTTAATGGTCCATTGGCAGATCTGGCTGGACCTTATCAAAATCCTACTGCTCCGCCGTCACTTCCGCTAAATCGTCGTTCTACTCCAAGACAATCCAGGCTCCTCTTCTCCATCACGAACTGACCCATCCGCCTTCCCTCTCACGCCTCACCCATCCTCACCTCCAATGCCAACTGTGAGGCGATGCTGGACTTCCTCGCATCCAAAGTATTGGCAAGAGGAAATCCGCTCAGCTGCCTCTGCCCTTCATCTGCTACCCCCTCCCCATCTCCCCCTCCCACCCCGGCCCCTACCCATCCCTACCTTCGAACCTGTCTCCCCCTCCTCTCTCATCACCCCTATAACCCGCATGAAACCAACCACCTGCTCTCTCGACCCAATCTCCACCCCTCTCCTTACCTCCGAGCTCCACCTCCTTGCCCCTCTACTCACAGACATCATGAACCTCTCCCTGTTCATTGGTACTGTTCCCACCCCATTAAAAACTGCAGTCATCATTCCTATCCTTAAAAAACCCTCCTTGGACCCCTCTCTGCTCCCAAACTACTTCCCCATCTCCAACCTCCCTTTCCTCTCCAAGACTCTGGAACGAGTTGTTGCTTCGCTCCTTCCTCTCCCACCACTCCCTTCACAAACCCCTCCAATCGAGTTTCAACAGCACAGAAACTGCCCTGGTCAAAGTGACAAATGACGTCTGTCCACCTGTTACCAGGGCTCCCTCTGCCTCCTCATCATCCTTGATCTTTCTGCTGCCTTCGACACGGTTGACCACTCTATCTTCATCCACCGCCTCTCCTCTCACGTCAACCTTCATGGCTCTGTCCTTGACTGGTTCAGATTGTATCTCTCACACCACCTCCACTTCATCTCCACAAACCGTTTTTCCTCTAGCCCCCACACCGTCTCGTGCGACATTCCTCAGAGCTCTGTTGTTGGTCCCCTCCTCTTCAATACTTAATAATTATTAATAATTATTGAATTCAGTAATTCAATGCTCCCTCTTGGTGATATCATCCGCAGACATGGGGGTCAACTTCCACATGTATGCGGATGACACCCAACTATACCGCTCTGTCTCCATACTTGACTCCAGAACCACTGCTGTCCTGACAGAATGTCTGTCGGACATCAAGTCCTGGATGAGAACTAACTTTCTTCAGTTGAACATCAACAAGACCGAGGCTCTCCTGATTGGCTCCCGTCAGCGCCTCCTCACCTCAGGCGCTGACAGCATCACCATCCATGGTTGCACACTCCACCTTGCTAAGCCAGTCCGGATCCTGGGGTCTTCTTTGACTTGAAAGCTATCCTTTCTACCCCACGTCTGCGCCATGACCCACTTTGCCTTCCCTCACCTCTGCAACATCGCCCGGCTCTGCTACTGTCTCACCCCGCTGGCCGCCGAAACCCTCATACGTGCTTTCATGACATCGAAGCTCGACTATGCAAACTGATTGCTTGTCGGCCTCCCCAAGTCCTCCCTCCATAGATCGTCCAGAACTCTGCAGCCCGTGTTCTCTCCCGCACCAGGCTACGTGACCCTATCACCCCCATCCTCGCCCGACTCCACTGGCTTCCCACTGACTGTCACACAGAAGATACAGTTCAAGATCTTGGTCCTCACCTTCAAAGCCCTCCATCGTCTTGCTCCTCCCTAACTCTGTGATCTCCTAACCCCCTACCATCCTGCTCGCTCCCTCCGCTCAGCAGGCTCCAGCCTGCTTCACGTCCCCCGCCTCGCTCGCCCCACCATTGGCGGGCGGGCCTTTAGCCACACTGCCCCCACCCTCTGGAACTCCATCCCACAGTCTCTCCACCTTGCCCCCTCCCTTGCCTCCTTCAAGACCCATCTCAAGACCCTCCTCTTTGACCATGCTTTCGATCTCTCTGCTTCCTCCCCTACCCTCCCTGACCCCGACTCCCAGCTCGGGTCCGAAACTCTGTCTGTCCAGCATCTTGGGAAGTCCTCCCGACATGAAAAGTGCTATACAAATGTAATTTTGTTATTGCTGTTGTATATCAAATGCAAGAATTATTATTATTAAAATCTCGATTTTGATATAATATAAAGCTGAATAATGTTAAATATTTAACAAGTGGATTGCTGAGCATGTAGTGCTACAATTCAGCTCTCTGTGTGCCTCTCCTGTAAATATCCCTATTGATTTGGCCTCTACAGCTTTTTGGGACTGTGAGAGTATTGCGAGTCTTCACAAAAGCTTTCAAGTCTTTAGCATCGCCTGCCCTGATTCAGTTAGTCCAATGAATTGAAATCTTTATAATGCGCTTACTGTTTCCAAGGGGGAAATATTGCCCCATTCGGAGTATCATAGCATAGAAAGAGGCCATTCGGCCCATCAAGTCTGCACCAACTCTCAAAGCAAGGTGTTCAATCAATCTCACTGCCCTGCCTTATCCCCATACCCCTTCAAGCCTCAATTGGTTACTTTATCTTCATTGAGAAACGTGCAAATAATGATAATAATCATTATCATTTGATACAGCGCTTTTCACATTGGGAGGACGTCTCAAAGTGCTTCTCAGAATTCACTGTAAAATTCAGTGGATGTGTGTTTTTTGTAGGCCAATTTGGTGCTCAGCAATGTCCCACAAACAGCCATGAAGTAAATTATCTGGGAGGTTATTGGCCAGGACACTGCGTGAAACTTCCTTTTCTTTTCAAATAGTGCCATGGAATCATTCGTTCTGCCTGAACAGGCAGACGGAACCTTGTTGAATATCTTATCTGAAGCCTGGCTCAGTTGGTTATAGCATTGAAGATTCAAAAAATATCACCTTGTCCTAGTTTTTGGATCATTTTGCCCACACAATAGTCACTCCACTTTACAGTATATCTTGTGAACTGAACGGACACTACCATATATCTTGTGAACTGTGTTGAGACATCTTAACAACATGATAGAGCACTGTGTCAAATGCAAAGATTATTACTAATTAACCATTAATCCTTGATCTTTTATTTTACTATCAGGACCTCAGTTCCTTTGCGATGCCTTTCCTGGATGGAGATGTGGAAAGCTCTGAGAAAGATGGATCTCGAAAGGTAGGGGGACATGATTTTAATCATGGCAAAATTTGAGGCTGGTTTCTTTGTACATCTACACTGTACAGTTTACACTATTAGATTCGCTACAGATAAAGCCATCTCCTGGCAACGCCCTAGCACCCCAGAGTGATGCAGGTCTGAATCTGGAATGATCGCAACAGAGTTACTGTAGTTTGGGCAGACAGGACCTCAGTTTTTAACATCTCATCTGAGAGCCGGCACTTCCGACAATGTTCTCCCCCCACCACTTGAGTGAGGTGGGTAGGCAGCGTAGACTGGGAGCTCCAAAGCCAAAACTGTCACGTTCGCACACTCATCCGCATTAAACTCCATACCCCTGTCACAACATCCCCGTCAAAACTCACTTAAGTCTTTTCTTAGGAAATTATCAGATTTTTAGAGTTGCACATTCACCTGAGTTCCGTTCAGTTTCCTATTAAAAAAAGCTACCTAGATTTCTTTGCACTAGTCTTATTAATCATCCTCAAACTCGTAACACCGCCCCCCCCACTCCCCCCATTACTCCTGCACTTACCGGTTGCCTTGAATTGTGGGAAATGATATCCTGACCTGTTGCTGCCAACTTACATATGCACTTACCAGCTGACTGCGTTAAATCACGGGAAACAGTCATGATCCGTCAACCAGTCAGAAGAATTTCATTTCCTGAAATTCAATGCGATTCCAACGTTTTATGGTAAGTATGCATGTGGCGACGGGTCAACATGCAATGAATTACTGGAAATTCTTGACCCTTCACCACTCTCATTGGCTGCATTGAAATACACATGCACAATGTAAATTATTTATTAAATTGGATTTTCTACGACTTGTGCACTTCGCCTATAACTCAGACTGTGTAAGTTATATTAAATGTTATGGTCTCGAGTGATACGATTCATGTAAGTTTTGCTGTATTATTGTTCTCATCTTTAAATCCCTCCATGGTCTGGGCCTACCCTATCTTTGTGAACTCCTCAAAACCAACTGACCCAGCCGTGTGCTCAATGGACACCAGCCTGCTTAACGTCCCCACCCACCCCACCATCACCGGGTGGGCTTTCAGCCTATCTGCCACCATCCCGGAGTCCCTCTGACTTGCTCCCTCCCTCTCTCACCTCAGTCAAGGTCCCTCAAGACTTACCTCTTTGACTGTGCTTTCGGTTATTGTTCCCCTCCCAACCAATCAGCTCCCACCCCCAGCTCGGGTGCCAAGTCATTATTACTGAGTGCCTCCCAACATGAAAGATGCTGTTTAAATGTATTGTATTGATATTTATCACATCTAATGGAATCTTCTTTCCCAAAATATCACACCCCTTCTCTCTCTTCCCCCCACCCTCTCTCCCGCTTCCCTCACCAATCTCATCAACACTGTTCTCAACTGTCCTATGTCTGCAACCTTGCGTAGACATGGGCATTGCCCCTGTGTGTCAGCCTCGCTCACTCTTGCCTCTTGAGTCAGAAGGTACAGGTGGCATATACTTGTGGAATTCTCAGTCTGGGGTTTCGATACTCTTGAATATATTGCTATGTGTGTCAGACACTCAGCTGAAAACAAACGGTCTGTTTTGTTTATTACAAAAACAGTTCCCACACTTGACAATAATAATAATCCTTTTATTTTGATGTAGCGTCGTATCAGGTTGTTTGCAATGTCTCAAAGCTCTTCACAAAATACTTTGTAAAATGGATTGACCATGCATTTTTTGGGCAAAATGTGGCAGCCAATTGCGCTTGGGAATCGAACCCTGGTTCTTTCGCTTGCCAGGGGAGTGCGCTAACCACTACACTATGGCGTGCAACTCTACCTATGAAATCATAGAATCGTAGAATTATACAGCACAGGAGGCCATTTGACCCATCCTGTCTGTGCCGGCTTTTTGAAAAGAGCTACCCAATTCAATCCCACTCCCCCGCGCTCTCCCCATAGCCCTGCAAACTTGTCCTCCCCAAATAATTATCTACTTCTTTCTTAAAAGTTGTTATTGAATCGGCTTCCACCACACTTTCAGGCAATGCATTTCAGATCTGAACAACTCACTGTGCGAAAAAATTTCTCCTCACCTCCCCTCTGTTTCTTTTAACAACTATTGTAAATCGGTGTCCTCGGGTTACCTCCCCACTCACCAGGGAAATAGTTTCTCCCTGTTCACTCTATCGAATCCCCTCATAATTTTGAAAACTTCTACTTAAGTCTCCTCTTAACCTTTTCTGCTCCAAGGAGAATAATCTTAGCTTCTCTAGCCTCTCCTGATAACTGAAGTCCCTCTTTCTTGGTACCGTCCTGATAAATCTCCTTTGCAGCCTCTCCAATGCCTTGACATCCTACCTAAAGTGTGGTGCCCAGAACTGAACCCAGTCTCTCGCTGAGGCCTAACCAGTGTTTGATAAAGGTTCATCATAGCTTCCTGACTTTTGTATTCTATGCCCCTATTTATAAAGCCTAGTATCCGTATACTTTTTTAACAGCTTTATCTACCCGTCCTACCACCTTCAAAGATTTACTTATATGAACCCCAGGTCTCTCTGTTCCTTCACTTCCTTCAAGATTGTACCATCAGCTTACATTGCCTCTCCTTATTCTTCCTCCCAAAATGCATCATTTTGTATTTCTCCACATTAAATTTCATCTGCCACATGTCTGCCCATTTAAAAGTATGTCTACATTCTCTTGCGAAATGCTTCGAGATGTTTGGTTATGATAAGCCTCTGTATCTAATGCAGAGCTTGTTAAATTATAGAGCTGCCTGCCATAGAGTTGCTTTCTTTGAGCTTATGGTCCAGGCTGACACTCCAGTGCAGTGCTGGGGTTGTACTGTATTGTTGGAAATCCTGGCCTTTGGATGAGATGCTAAACCAAGGTCCTGTCTGAGATTGTTCGGGTGAATGTTAAAGATCCCATGATGCTAATTGAAAAGAAAAGGAAGTTTCTCCCAGTGTCTTGTCGGATAATCCACCAGATAAAATCTGTTATTCATTTCATGGGACATTTGTGGGACATTGCTGTGGGACACAGCTGTGGGCAAACTGGCTATGTGTTCACATACAAAATACAGTGTCACTAAGCTTTACAGTTCTTGTGAAGTGCTTTTGAGACGTTCAAGGCGTGATAAGCCGCTATAGCAAATGCAAGGATTATTATTAATATTTCTGTTTGTATGGTAAACCCAGATTTACATTAGGATTTATCAAGACAGTTTATTTATTTATCAAGAAGGACGTAGTTTTAAAGAGTTGTAAAGGGTAATTTGGGGTCAGACAGGAAGTTTTTCTTTATGCAGAAGGTAATCAATCACTGGAACAGGGTTGCCCAGGAAAGGTGATAGAAGCCAGGAGACCTGACTCATTTAAAAGCTGCTTGATGTAGTGATCAGGTGAGGGTGGGTGTTTTGGAGGGATGAGATCAGATGGGTCGAAGGGTCTTCTTTATCCAGATAAATCTTGTGCGATCTTGTAATTTTTTGGGGTCAGCCAGATGTCTGACACATGCGAAACCTATCAACATGCTTAAGAGTATCTAAACCAAGCTGAGGTTTCCATGCACCCCACCTGCACATGGAAATCCCAGAGATAGATTGTTGGAATGGAATGTGCACTTTCTCTCTGGAGGGACACATTTGTTTACCTAATTCCGGAAAGTATGATGTGCAGGTTGGCAACAAGCAAGACTTGGGGACCCCAGAGTCTGCGTTGGGGTAAAGTCTGGCATTTATCCAGCTAAAACCACATAGTTTGCCATTGATATCACTGTCTGGCAGGCATTCCCACTGCTTGTCCAGATAGGACCACCCTACCCATTAGGGCTTTGGCTTATGGGGTTAATAGGAGCTGAGTGGGATGACTCCCTGCCCCCCAGTGACTGATCTGTCCTTCCAAGTCCTGCCAATGAGCCTGTGTTGTCATCTAAGGTGAACCTGTGATTGCAGTGAAGAGCTGGGCAATAGCACCCGTTTTCGCCCACAAAATACAGTCACTACAATTTACAATATATTCCTTGAAGTGCTTTGAGACGTCAACGACGCGATAAGGTGCAATATGAAATGCAAGGATTATTATTAACAATCATTAATTATCAATTATTACTTGTTACTTGTTACTTGTTAATTATTAATTATTAATTATTAATTATTAATTAGAGTAATAATAATTAATAAGCTTTATAATAATGAATAAGATTAATAATAATCTTATTAATTATTATTAATCTTATTAATTATTATAAAGCTTATTGATTATTATTAATTAATTAATCTTATTAATTATTATTAAAGTGTGTTCCTCAGCACCTCACTCACTCAGACCCTTTTTGTGTCTCTTTCAGGGGGAAGACGCCTCTCATTCCGCAAGTCCTTCCAAAGGATTTTTTTCCCGGAATTTCCACAACCGGCCATCCAGCCCGGTGTCCGCTCCGGCGAGGTCCAAGCATAGCCCCAGCTCTCCCAGGTCGGTGTTTCCGTTTCCTCAGGATTCTCCACCCAGGCCTTCCCGCCGGATGAGCTTCACTGGGATGTTCCGTTCTTCGTCTAAAGACTCACCGTCCCGGGATTCATCCGCCAGCTCCAGCTCCACCTCGCCCGTCTCCATCCGCTTCTTTTCCCGGACCAGGAAAGGTAGATGTTTTATTATTAATATTTATTCTAATTAATATTTTTATCATTAATGAGTTGAGGTACAGATCAGCCATGATCTACTAGAATGGCAGAACAGGCTCGAGGGACTGAAAGGAATACACCTGTTCCTATGTTGACTGGCTCAGATAGTGCTCTCGCCTCTTGAGTCAGAAAGTTGTGGGTTCAACAATGACTTCCTACCAAAATGCAACACTTCGTGGAGAAACGTTGGATTTTGGGTGGAAGAATGAGGAGAGGCAGTATAAGCTGATGGTACAATCTTAAAGGGGGCAAATGAACAGAGAGACCTGAGGGTTCAACTAAGTAAATCTCTAAAGGTGGCAGGACAGGTAAATAAAGCTGTTAAAAAGCATACGGGATACTAGGTTTTATAAATAGGGGCAGAGAATTCAAAAGTCAGGAGGTTATGTTAATATTTATAAAATGCTGGTTAGGCCTCAGTTGGAGTACTGCGTTCAGTTCTGGGCACCGCACTTTAGGAAAGATGTGAGGGCATTGGAGAGGGTGCAAAGGAGGTTTACCAGGATGGTACCAGGAATGAGGGACCTTAGTTATGAGGAGAGGTTAGCGAAACTAGGGTTATTCTCCCTACAGCAGAGAAGATTAAGAGGTAATTTAATAGAGGTTTTCAAGATCATGAGAGGAAAGCTTGAACCGGGAAAAACTGCTTCCACTGGCATGTAGGTCAGTAACCCGAGGACACCGATTTAAGTAAGTTGTTAAAAGAAACAGAGGGGAGGTTAGGAAAAAAAAATTTCACCCAGCGAGTTGTTTGGATCTGGAATGCATTACCTGAAAGGGTAGTGGAAGCCGGTTCAATAACAACTTTTAAGAGAGAAGTAGATGGGTATTTGGGGAGGACAGGATTGCAGGGCTATGGAGAGAAAGCGGGCCAGTGGGATTGAGTTGGATTGCACTTTTCGGAGCTGGCGCAGACACGATGGGCCGAATGGCCTCTTTCTGTGCTGTATGATTCTATGACTTGCATTTATACAGCCACCTTCAAGCTGGATAACATCTGGTGTAGTTTGATGCTGATCTGGGGAGAAAGGGGAGGTGACAGTTGAAGAGGAAGGTCTTCAGGTGCCATTTGAAAAGCTCGATGGGCTGAATGGCCTATTCATGTTCCTATGCCAAGAAGGGTATTGTACATGCAGGAGCACAGACCGGCTGACATGTGGGAGCGTAGAGCACCTGTGTGATAAGCGTTCCTGCGTGTTAGCGAAGTGCATTCTAACGGAGTTTTACTGTGTATTGTTGGCTCCTGAGGTGTGTTCCTGGGGTGGGTGAGTTTCTGTTTCCAGCAGTACTGCACCTCTTCAGATGCAGTTAGTGAAGAGTTTCTGTCCCAACCACAAATTGACTGTCCCATATATGCAGTTAGGCAGCTGTCCACTAGAGGGCAATATTACCTGGGTCCACACAATGCTACAATGAATGATTGCTTAACAAAGGCATATTAGATAGGGAGAAAATCCACTACACTTATTCTCATTTTGTGCAGCATTTTTGAGCTTCCAGGATCTGGTAAACTGGCAGTGTGTAGGAGGTGACACTGGTGCCATTCCCCCNACCCCCTGAGGAAATCCATGAGAAAAAATCCCCTTTGGCTCATAAAGATAATAGTCATATAATAATAATCCTTCTATTTGATGTAGCCCTGTATCACGTCATTGAGACATCTCAAAGTGCTGCACAGAATTTACTTCAGTGCTTACTTTGTGGACAAAATAATAATAATAATTATTAATAATAATAATCCTTGCATTTGGTATAAAGCAACTTGCAACAACGTGCGTATGTATAGTGCCCTTCACACCAGACAGCGTCTCAGAGCGCTTGACAGTATATCCTGTATCCTTTACAATATATTCATCTCAACGAATTGATTAGGCACTGTATTAAATGCAAGGATTATTATTGTTATTAATACATGTGTGTGAAATGAACCAGACAAAAGATTCAGGGATAATAATGCTCACACATAAAAATAATAATAGTAATATAATAATATAATAAATATAATATAATCCTTGCATTTGATATAGCGCTTTTCACGTCGGGAGGACGTCCCAAAGCGCTTCACAGAACACACTGTAAAGTGAATTGACTGTATATTTGTGGGCGAACGCGGCAGCCAATTGCGCACAGCAATGTCCCACAAACAGTCGTAGATTGAAAATGACCAATTTTATTATTGTTTTTGGTTTTTGGAGGGATTATTATTAGGCTCTGTGTGGAGTAAGGAAACTTGCCCAAGGTTTCGCCCTCTGCCTGGAATTGAACTCAGGTCTCTCACTTGCAAAGCGAGTGCTCTAACCACTGAGCTACAGGACTCCAAAATGACAATAATCCTTGTATTTAGAATGCTGGTGGGCCTTTTCATTTCAGGAGGATTTTTCAAAGAGCTTCACATGATTTACGAGTGTAAATTTGAACACAGCAACATCCCACAGCAATCTCCCATAAAGTAAATGGCCAATTTTATCTGGGGGATTGTTGGCCAGGACACTAGGAAAAATTCGCTGTGGGATCTTTAACATCCACCTAAACATTTGGTTTAATTTCTGAACAACAACAATAAATTACATTTATATAACTGTGTTCATGTTGGAAGGACATCCCAAGGTGCTGATTTTGTCTCATCAGAAGGATGGAGCCTCTGATAATGCAGCGATTTCCCCCGTCACTCCACTGACATGTCAGCCCAGACTGTGAGTTCTAAGTCTCAATGTGGAGCTTGAACTCACAACCTTCATGACTCAGAGGCGAGAGTGCTTCCCACTGCGCCAGGCTGATACAGTAATGGCTGTTTGGATGTGATCCCGGTAATGCCAGTGGAATTGTACCTCAGGGGACGTGGGATGGGGGGGAGCGGAGGAATCAAAATGCCTTCAGTAAACGGGAGAGGGGAAAGAAAACTATCAAATCTGGGTCAATTGTGGGTTTAAGTTTACATAAGGACAGCATTGAGCTCTGGCTGCTCCCAAAATAACTTCAGTGATGTATCTTAGTGGAGCTGAGGTCAGAACTGATGCAGTAGGGCTGTGTTTCCATTCCCTTTACGCCATCTGTCTGCTGATCAGCGTGAGGATAGCATGGTACCCCAGACAGTAAGGTTGCCTCATGACGGCTGTTAACCAGCTCTGTGCTCAGTGTGAACACCACAGCAAGAAATCTCACCAGGTTTAATTATGCTTCAGTTTTGTTTAGTGAATAAATTGGGAATATCTGCATGTATGTTATAATTTATGTGTATGTTGTATAATTTGTGTCTTTCTCTCCGGCTCTGTTTCTCTCTTAAGTGGGCTCCCCTTGAAGCTGAACTGGCTCCAAGGTGACATGTTTGACAAAGGAATGTCAGAATCCAGCCAGCCCTCTCTAGTCCTGTTTTTGAGCCTGGTGGGTCCGCAGTATTCCAGGGCACAGCTGATGACAGCATAGGCAACCTGGCTCATCGGTAGCACCTGGAAGGGCAGACCAGTCCTTGGGGGCAAGAAGTCATCCCACTCAGCTACTGTTAACCCTGCAAGCCAAAGCCCTAATGGGTAGATTGGTCCTGGCTGGACAAGCAAGGGAAATCTTGCTGGACAGCAATATCAATGGCAAGCAATACAGTTTTAGCCAATTAAACTCCTGCAGTACCCCAACGCACACTTTAGCGTCCCCAAGCCTTGGCTCTTGCCAACCTGCGCCTAATACTTTCTGGAATTAGGTAAACAGGATGCATTCCTCCAGGGAGAGCATTCCATTCCAACAATCTATCTCTGGGATTTCTGTGTGTAGGTGGGATGCATGGAATTCTCAGTTTGGTTTGGATACTCTTGAGCATGGTGATGGGTTTCCACATTTTTCAAGACACCCGGCTGACACCCCCACAAAAAAATATTCTCTCTCTGTTTTTCTCCTTCTCACTCTCTTTTCACTTTCTCATTCTCCACCTGTGTCTCTTTCTCTATTAGCTCTCCATCTCTCTTGTGTTCTCTCTCTTTTTCTCTCTCACACTCAAGAATAGAGAATAAATATAATCCTTGCAAGTAATACAGCGCCTTATCTTGTCAACAAAACATCGCAAAGCAGGAATTCTGCCACAGGACCTTTAACATCCACCTGAACAGACGGAAGGAATCTCAGGTTAACATCTCACCTCAAAGTTGCCACCTCCAAAAATATAGTGCTGCCCCCAGTATTGCATTGGAGAGCCATCCTAGACTGTGTGAGTTGAAAGGCCTGTATATATGGCCTTTAAGGCTTGTATATATGTGTATATATACATATATATAGATATATATATACACACATGTGTGCGTTATGTATGTTATGTATGTTAGTGTTAGTGTATACACATATATATACACACACAGAAATCTCTTGATAACTCACCCCCCACACAAATACACACACATAGTACACACTACCCCCCTCCCCCCACACACGTAATACACAGTACCTCACCTCCCCACACATACACATAATACACAGTACACACTACCACCCCCCACACACACATAATACACATGCACATATAATATCCATGCACATATATAATACACACATACATATGATACACTCACATATATAATACGCACACACATATAATACACATGGACACACGCACACATATATATATATATATATATATATATGTGTGTGTGAGTGTAAAACACTCACACACACATATAATATATACACAAATAGTCTTCCGTCTGGGAGTCAGGGTGGGAAGCAATGTGGAAGGCCCATCACATTGAGACTTTTATTCCATTCAATTGGTTTTAATTGAAATAGCCCCAGGGCTGTTGGTATAAGTGAACGGGGGCAGGGTGGGGGGTTGGGAAAAGCAATGCTTCAGAACAGCTTGTACTTGGCTGTGTGGTTAATGCCCTCAGGCACTTTCAGGTCTCCCGCACCGCACTGTGAATGACTCACTTTATTTATTTCAATCACTTCCGATGCTGTTCAATTAGCGAGACTGGGCT